AACATAGAAGAACCAGCAAGTCGTTTCCATAGCAACGAAAAATTAACGAAATGTGGAATAATACGTTCGATGTTTAATGTTCTTTTCCAATCCTCTATCTTGTTTTCCATCGTTAATGGTAAATTTATTGGAAATATTTCTAATATTTCTAGCGTTGGCCAAAAAATTCGAAATTACAGAATTTCGTACTTGAAAGGCATTAACTAGAATATGTATACAAAGTACATTAAATGTTTTTAGATATCGTGACCACAATTGTTGCAAAAATGATAAAACTTCTTTTAGGATTGTTTGTTAAAAAAATAATAATTGATACGTGTTTTGGTAAATTTACCTAAACTCCTTGTCACATGAATATTTTTTACCGTAACATAAGTTTCAACTTAAAATGAGAAAAAAAACTTGAAGAAAGATATTGCTTTGGCAACTTTTTTTAAAATATTTTTATGTTTAAACCGTATTTAAACTGTATATTTCATTAAAATTTTGTTGTATAGACTGTAATAGATGCAGCTATATGCATCACAGAACTAAGTTAATATATTTACTGAGTGTAAAAATTTTTTTTTTTACATATTACGACCACAAATGCCACACAACTAATAAAATTTTTTAAGATTTTCATTTTCTTTTAGAATTTTGAATTTTGTTTTAAAACTGGCAATGCTTGATAAAAAAAAAACGAATGCAAGATTTTCAACTAATACTATATAGTTAAACTACATTGTGCACTGAGAAAAAATGTATGGCCAAAACTACCGAATATATGGTAAAATTTACCGTATTTACCGGCTCTTTGGGAATACCAAAAATCTCGGTAATTTTTACTCAAGCGCTTTGGTAATGATTTATCGTAAAATTAACAATTAAATATGGTCTTATAAATGAGTGGTAAATATGGTAAAATTTAGTAATTTTATCATGATGCCTTAGAGCATATCATGAAAACCATTTATTCGAGAATATTTACTGTTTTGTTTTGTAGTTTTTACTAAATGCGTGGTAATAAGAAATATAATTTAGAAAACCAGGATTTCCGATAAGCACCTTTCTAAATCTGAAATCAGTTAGAACTCTCATTTAATACAACACCTATTTTCTCGCCAACAGCCGACATTTTTCTCGCCAAAAGAGGCAACTGAATAAATTTAAAGCTCAGCCATTTTAGGAAAAGCGTGAAATATGGCTGACAGCGAAATGAATTACGATCAAATACCAAATAAATATTCTAATATAATGTAATAAAAATATTCTAATCAATCTTTTTTAAGAAGTTCTTTTTAAGTTAATTAAAAGTGTATACTTATTACCCAAAAAAAATCAAGAGGGTGCGTTTGTGTAGGAATATTTTTAGGTAATGTTCCTTTAAGCTGAAATTTTTTAACTTTGAGAATATAGGGATTCCACTGCGTGATGTAATTTTTTAATTCCTAGCAAATTTAGTAACTGACTTCATACGGATAAAACCGCAAAAAAATTTTAAGTCGAGATAAAAATTTTGAGAAAGCGCGGGGATTCAGGGGATAGAACTTTTGCCTACAAATTAAGTGTTCCAGGATCGAATCTGAGCGATAACTGAACGATACAAACTCTACTTCTGGCTCCCATTGACCATAGTAATGACATGGAACATCCTCAGTGGTAAACTGGTCATGGGTCGTCGGGCTAACTATGGGACATACCGTGGTTCTCCTCTCCATGTAACGCAAATGCATGGTTAGTCAAATCATGGTTTATTTCCTTTAAAATGTACTCTACAAATACTAGTTTGTTCCAATGCTTGATCCTGAAGTTTTCTTGTCTTCTAGGTTGGTAAAAAAAAAAAATTAAGGAAACAGAGTTGAACATTTAAATTCGCAATCTCAAAAATTGATTGTTTTTTCAACGCGGTTATAAAATAAATTATTTTGAATAAAGCTAGTTCTAAACCCTTTGAATTCAACGTCTAACCACTCCGAATTAAAAACCCTTTTCTTCTAACTTATAGTGTATGAAATGACAAGATCTTTGGATAAATCATTTATACAGTAAAACACTTTGAGTTCCCTAATTTTTTTTTAATCCCGTTACTTCTTCTGTTTAGTTTTCAGTGCATGACCTTAAATTTTTTTCTTTCTCTTGCACAAATTTTGGAACATGTTGAACAGTTTCAACACTAGTGTTCCCATTTCTAGTGCTATTGATTGCTTAAAGCTACGGTTGTAATTATCTAACTACTCTTTTATTGAAATTTAATATATTATCTTCCACTAACTTTTCAATTTAGTTGTAATTTATGTGTATATATATATATGAAACAGTTGTTTCTAATCTCCATATTGAAAACAAATCGTGCAAGTATAGCCACCACCTGTTTTGTTCAATCGACTTTACAGTGTATTTTATTTTGCTGCCCAAATCTATCAGATGGAGACAAATTTGCAATGCTGATGGAGACATTTAGAAACTTGAAAATGTGGAAGTATGCAGAATTATGCAAAGTGTGCTAAAAATAAACCGACCAGCCTGATTAACTTTTGATCTAATGATTTTGATCTTCACGTTCCACGACTCAATCTTACTGGTTCGAAAAGGTGATCCTAAATATGCTAATTAATTAGTGCAGACAATGTCTTAAGTTACAAAATCAGACATAAAAACGTACTTTCTTTGAATAACATAAATTTTTTCAATGGATCCGGATTTCTGACCCCCAAAATATAGGGGGTAGCCGCAATCTGGAAAATATAGTCACAATAGTTTGGTCACAATAGCGGTCCAACGTTTGGACCCCTTAATTTTACTTTTTGTGTATTTCGTTATATCTCGAGAAAACTGTGAGCGAATTGAGAAATTTTTGCACACTTTTATAAAATTCGTTTATCCAAAGATAATTTCATGAAAAGTAAAGCTTTAAGTAAATAATTATATTATTTTTTTATTATTTTATTTAATAATGGTCGAAAAAAAATTTGNTGTTAACCAATTGATACAGGAGCGTAAACAAGTGCAAACCGGTTTCAGTCGCGTAAAAACAATACAGCTGTATAGATATATATATATATATCTTTCTCTTTTTCTTTTAAGAGATACTTTCTGTTGTCAACTCGATTAACCCCAACATTCAATGTACTTTAGACACAGAAATTGATTTTACTTAGATGTTCTTGTAACTAAGTACAATGATCAATTTTCCTCTCCTGTTTATTGTAAACATTTTATCGTCTCTTTGCCCACTCATATTATTTCTCATCAACCTAATTGTCATTTAAAACTTTAGTTCTAGATGGCACTTAACATTTAAATGACACTTCGCACTTAACCCTTTTGGGTTGACTCTTCTTTTTTTAAACTCCCAATTCAATCATCCCGTTGCTAATCGTAGATTTAAACCTTCTATGGTTGATTCAGCTCATGCTTAACTCCCCTAAACGCCACTTTTCTTCGAATCATTACAGAGAACCTGTTCACTTAACCAGGTTTTTTTTCTCTCCCCTTTCTGTTTTAAGGTCCTTTTGAGTGCTGTTAATAAAATTAAATCTCTGAAAGATCCTATTTGATAATTGATGGAGCATTTACCACATTCCTTGTCAGCGTGACCTGCGTTACATCGGGCAAACTAAACTAGCTTTAAAATTTTCTCTAAAGAAGCACGATAGATTTGTTCGTTATCAAGAATACGAAAAATCATCGAATGCTGCACATTGTTAGAATCTTGGGAATGCATTTAATTACGACAATGCCGAACAAGTTTCCACCCTAGTCACATCAGCTCATCTTGATGCCCTGGAATCTCATTTTATTCATATGAATGATGGTTCCCTTGTTAACGACTTAACTTCCTTATCACCTCTCCATAGTTCATGGAAATGCGTTTTATACTGATTTGACCCGCTCTGCCACTGTTTTTTCCTGTTCTATTTTTCATCTTTTTTTCTTCTTTCTCGGCTACTGTGGTTTTTCTAGTTTTGTGTCTCACTTTTCGTCCACTTTTCGTTGGCAACTTTATGTTACAAATCACTTATGTTTCTTTTCATTCACATCTGGCAAGTGCGTTGGGCGTTTGAGTGCTTGAAACGTTTTGACTGTTACTTGGAATTTATATATTTTTAAGAAGCGAATAAAATTTTTTAATCAAGTAATATCTTACCCAGGGGATAGAGCGATCGCCTTCCAATGAGGCGAACCGGGTTCGTATCCCAGTCGATACGAATTTCGCAAACGGCTTGCACCGACCACAGTGCTGACGCGAAATATCCTCAGTGGTAGACGGATCATGGGTCCCCTTGCCGTCAGGCTAACCGTGGCAGGTTCCCGTGGTCTTCCTCTCCATGTAACGCAAATGAGGGTTAGCTCCATCAAAAAGTCTTCACGAAGGCAAATTTCTCTCAGTACTCGATCCAGGAGTTCCCTTGTCTTCTGGATTGGGCTCAAAATGACAAGGCTACGGAGTTGAACATTAGTAGTCGTAAACCCATAAAATTGGGTCGGCTGTTCAACGACGGTTATAAAATAAAATATTATTATTTAATTATCTGAAATTAAATGTGGGATTATTTATTTAATTATCTGAAAATTACTTGATTTTTCGCTTCTTTTTTTCCTCAATTTAGAAACGAGCCTTATTATGCTTATCATATTGATAGAAGCTCTTCAAAACAAATGTTTTTTAATAATAAAATTTTTTAAATCTTTTAATATTTGAATTTTTTTTTAAAAAAAAATTGTTGCCAGATGTTTTAAAAAGTGAAAACTGTTAAAAATGCTATAAACGACCACTAGAGATTTATCACTTAATTTACTATTGAATTTTTGTCCTAACCCATTGATGTCAATGTCTTACATCCCCCGAAATAAATTCTCCCTTTTCTCTCGAAATATTGCGTGAGAATTCGTTTCCGAATTTTTTGACCTATACAGGCAGCGGAGTACGGAGGTATTTGGATGAGATCCAAAGAAAGGGCAGTCCTATGAAAAATCTATGCCTTAATACTCCGAATCCGCGCCATCTGGATGAAGAATTGGCGCTATTCCACCGGTCCTGCCCTTAGAAAGCCACACTCTCGAAAAAGGGGCGGTGGTTTGAAACAGTTAAAACTAATTATCGATCATGAACTTTTTCAAATCTACCTTATTTACATGAATAAATCTAATTCGAAAGTGCACCATCTAAACTGTGAAAGTTACAACGGTTACATTTCCTAGTGATAGGAAATGGATTCCTAAAAGCCACTCCGTCCCTGAGAGATCTAAACTCATTTGCAATGAGTGAGAGGGTCTTTTGATAAATGTATTTTTGATTAAAATATAATGTCCTTTAAATTCCTGCCAACGTGATGAAAAGTGATTTAGTGCTTATTTAAAGAAGTGTGGAAACCAACTCCAGGAGAATGAAATCTTCAGAAAAAGTAAGAGGAAGTTTTTAATTTAATTACATGAACTCTCTTATTCATTTTCTTAGGAACGCACATACTACCTTCTTCTTAGCTATTTTAGTACCTGGCAAAAACTATTACACGCACTATAAGATTCTATGTAAAATCTTAATTATCAAGTGATACTATACGGCTGTATTGCTTGTACTGTATTGTAATGCAATACGTTAAAAATAAATACAAATATTAGAAATATAAAAAAATCTGAATAAAAACCCATTACACGTGTGTTACTACACAGCTAAAAACCCATTACTATACAGTTTTATTGTTTTTATTTGACTGAAACCGGTTTGCACTAGTTTACGTTCGTGTATCAATGGTTCAAATTAGACTATATATAATATAAATTTGACGATAGAATAAATTAGACGATATATTAGATATAATATATCGTCTAATTTATATAGAATATTTTAATAAAATATAGAATATAGAATATTGCTATGTGATGCTTGATATAAAAATATAGAATATTTTTTATATCAAGCATTATATTAGTATATTATAATAATTAGATCAAATTATTAGACGCACTGTATTGTTTTAATTATTTCATGTTTTGCACGAGTCTATAGGCAATACTTTTATATTTAAACACGCATGTAATGGGGTTTGTATTCGGGATATTTTTTATATACTTCCTATTTGTATTTATTTTTAACGTATTGCATTGCAATGTTAACCAATTGATACACGAACGTAAGCAATGCAAACCGGTTTCAGTCGCGTGAAAACAATACAGCTGTATAGTATCACCTGATAATTAAGATTTGACATAGAATCTCTTATAGTGCGTCTGATAATTTGACCAGCAACTGTAGGTCAAAAATTATTTTATTAAAATTTCATTATGTTATGATATATATATTTTGATAGCATTTAAAAAGAATAATATTTTAGGAATTTTTTTTATACTTATTTCTTGAAATAGTAAGAAATGCATGTATACCATTTGTATGTAGCAACTGTAGGTCAAAAATTATTTTATTAAAATTTCATTTTGTTATGATATATATATTTTGATAGCATTTAAAAGGAATAATATTTTAGGAATTTTTTTTTAATACTTATTTCTAGAAATAGTAAGAAATGTATGTGTATCATTTCGAATTTAATGTATTAAAATGGGAAAATTTTTACAATCGAATCATTTATATAAAAATGAATGCAAGGTTACAATATTGATGAACAATTTTATTGGTTCATCAGTATTGTAACCTTGTATTGTAAGGCAGTATTCTCTCCTATTAATTATTTGACCTACTTCCCGGATGCTTTTTACGTAGAGATTAGTAAATTATCAAAAATTCAGTTCTCTGATAATGACTTAATAAAAGATTAAATCCCAGTTTAATATTTCTCTATCTTTTTCTCAGTTCTTAAACCCATATTTTTTTTAATTAAAAAAAAAGGAAACTTACCTCAAGTTTCTCGAATGATATGTATAAAAAACATTTTAAGATTAAGTTGAATATCACCAGATAATATTTCCTTATTTCTTAAGCAATTTCTTTTTCAATTAAATTAATATTGCTTCCTTTTTTTTAATATACAGTGGTCCACTATATAAGCCCAATATATATCCCATTTATATAAGCCCAAATCCCATTGAATAACTTTTGATCTAATGATCAGATTTTCACGTACTAAGACTCAAATTTAATGATTTGGGAGGCGTCCTCAAATATGCTAATTAATTAGTGCAGACGATATTTTAAGTTACGAAGTACTTAAATGCAATAATAGTACACACAGTAAGGCACTATCTGAATAAACGAATCATTATTTCGCTGGATTTCGATTTCTGACCCCCCAAAATATAAGAAGTAGCCTGAATCGATGAAATATGTTCCAATAATTTGGTTTGAAGTTTGAACCCCTAAATGGTAATTTTACTTTTTACTTATTTCGCCACATCTCGAGAATTTTTTTAAAAATAAATTAAAAGTTTTTACTCGTGATTATAAAATTTGTTTGTTTAAAGATAATTTTACGCGAAAAGTCGTTTTTAATAAATATTTTTTTTTTCTATTATATTCTTTAAAAATAATCGAAAAAAATTGATTTGTAATGTCCATAAACTTTTGCATAATTTTAAGAAATGAAATTTTTTAAGGCAAAATACAAACTTTGTAAGGTGCTGGTCAAGTAGTTCCTAAGATTTCACGTTTTAATTATACAACTTTTTTAGATTTTGATTCCTTAGAGACTATTTGACCAATTTCGTTCTAGTTTTGTATATTTGTATTTGTGCATATTGATTGATAATCAGCACATTTATGGTCATCTCTTCAAACCATTAAAATTGAGTCCAAGTATGTAAAAATCCTATCAATAGATCAAAAGTTATTCAGGGTGATTCGTTTTTTTTTTCAGTACTGTACGTTAAAATCTGTGCGGGGAATGCAGTTTTTTAATGATTTTTTTTAAAAGGAGCCTAACAAACATAAATATATATATAAGAATTTATGTGAGTTTTAAAATTAAAAGTGTTTGACTTCATCTATATATCAAGCTATTATTACATTTTGGTTAAATTTTAAATTTTTTTTTTGTATAAAACAATTATCTTTTAATTTGATACAGGATATTCCGTAAAATAGCCATTAATATGTAATTTGTATGAAAAATTGAAAACAAAAAATTACTCAATTTGAGATTTGCCAAATTAATATTTAAGCTGAAAAAAGAGAAGCACAAATGAAATCTTACCAATTACAGTAGAGGAATAAGTTGAAAATTGAAAGTTGATATTGAAAGCTTTCTAAGAATACGTATTACGAGCGGTCTCCATGTAACACCCTGCTTAATAGTTATCTAACTTAAATTATGTTTTTATACAAAAATAATATCTCCTTACTTAAATATAAAACTCAATTCATATAAATGAAAGTTTTATGTAAAAATGTAGTATTAAGTATGCAAAAATAAAAATTTATATAAAATTAATATCATAATTAAATGAAATATTTAATTTACATAAATTAAGCTTTTGAAATTGTAGAAAAAATCTTTAGTTAATTAAATTACTACCTTAAAGTAAAAGTCCTTATATTAAAATGAACTTGTTAAATCTACTATTCAATTGATACAAATTAAAGTTTTGCTTAAAACTAATATATCTTTGTCTAAATATAATATTTAATGTACTTAAATTAAAGTTTTAAATATAATTAATAATTTTTAGTTTCATAATAATAATAATAATTTTTGGTTAATGAATAATTTATTAATAATTTGTAGTTTCAATATAATTAATAATTTTTAGTGAATCAGTAATGTATTAATAATTTTCAGTTTCAATATAATTAATAATTTTTAGTGAATCAGTAATTTATTAATAATTTTTAGTTTCAATATAATTAATAATTTTTAGTTAATTAATAATTTTTAGTTTCAATGTAATTAGTAATTTTTAGTGAATCAGTAATTTATTAATAATTTTTAGTTTCAATATAATTAATAATTTTTAGTTAATTAATAATTTTTAGTTTCAATGTAATTAGTAATTTTTAGTGAATCAGTAATTTATTAATAATTTTTAGTTTCAATATAATTAATAATTTTTAGTTTCAATGTAATCAATAATTTTTAGTTTCAACGAGCATAAATTAAAGTCTTAGGAAATATCCGTTTATAATTTTAAGGCATGAATTATAGTTGAGAAGATGCCAATGGCATAAATCTTTACTCTTTGATCATTTAACCTCAAATTTAGTCTCTGTATCTCACATGGTTACAGAGCTGCGAAATGCAAGTTTTTTGTAATTGGCTGAGTCTGTTAACCAATCGACGCCTTTTAATATTTTTTTATCATTTTTTTTGTATTATTTTGGTCAAAATAGGTGAAAAATGAAATGAAATTTAGCATTCTAATTGTTTATGGTTATGAAATACAGCATGAGACACCAGTGTCTTTTTCTACGTTAAAGGTAAAATCTTCCAAAGAATAATTTTTTTTCAGATTTGCAATTTCTTCTGTTCTAAGAGAAGCAGTTATTCATCATTGAGATTTCTGTAATTTACAAAATCAATTATTGTGCATTTGAATATGAATTAAAAAATCTTTTTCAAACTACTTTTTTTATAATTTTAGTGCAAATACAATTCCGATATTCTTACAGAACTTTTTTCGATTATTAGTTTTCTTTTTTTTATAATTAAAAAAGGCCAAAATATGTTTTTTCTTGTAATTAGAGCGCCAGAAAAAAAATATAGATAAAAGGGACACCAAGAGACATCATCGTCAAAGGGGCATACCATGGAATGATCAACAAGACTATAGTCCATAGATCTTTGTCCATAGATATTTCAAAATTATATCTTTGCTTTATTCTTTTATTCGTTTTTAAAACTAAACTTAACAGTTAGGAGCAAAAATAATATTAAGTAATATTTTTATACTTATCGGTTCTATCACTATCACTATTCTCAACCCTCAAAGATTGCAGTGCAATCTTATAAGATTTGCCTTGCTCGCTTCTCTTGCTACTATAATCTTATTTGATCCATGATAGCTCAGGGGAATAGAGCGTTCGCCTTCCAATGAGGTGAACCGGGTTCAAATCCCAGCGATGGCTAGTCGATACGAATCCGCATCCGGCTTGCACCGACCACAGTGCTGACGTAAAATATCCTAAGTGGTAGACGGATAACGGGTTGGAGTCCCCATGCCGTTAGGCTAACCGTGGGAGGTTTTCGTGGTTTTCCTCTCCATGTAACGCAAATGCTGGTTAGTTCCATAAAAAAAGAACATTAGAACAGTAGTCGTAAGTCCAACAAATTGGGTCGTTTGTTCAATGACAGTTATAAAACAAAAAATAAAAATATAATGTCATTTAAAATGTACTGTAGTGTCAGAATTTAAAAAAATTTTTAAAACGTTAAAAAACTTATTTCTCTTTAAAGATGAAAATTTTCACTCAATAATAAGGTACTGAAATATTTAAAAAAAAAATACATGACGTCAT